GGGGGGGGGGAGCCCGACTGCAGGAAGGGCGCGGGCTTTGCCTCGTGAAACGGGGAGGGGAAATGCGCCCTTTCCACGGAGTCGCTGCTGAACCGCGCCGGACTGCGATCCGGTGGGGAGAATGGTCCGGAGGTTCTAGTCGGGGCCCCTACAACAACCCTGCGAGGAAGGGCATCTGGTCCGGCTGGCCGCTGCTGGGCCTGAGGTCAAGGACGGTCGACCTTGTCCTGGGCAGAGGTCAGTCGGATGGGATCCTGGAAAGTTGCTGCTTCAAGCAGAGGCCGTGGGGGGTCTGGCCTGGGGAAGGGGCTGGGCCGGATGACCCCAAGAGCGTTCCAACTTCACGACTCTAGGGCTGCTGCCTTTTTTCCCCAAGGTGCGGGCCTCAAAAGCTTCATCATTCCATTTTCCAACCTGGGCGACTTTGTGTGGACTTCAACTCCCAGAACCCCCAGCCAGCCGTGCTGGCTGGGGAATTCTGGGAGTTGAAGCCCACACTTCTTAAAGTGGCCCAGGTGGAAAAACACTGGTCCAAGGGAAGGCCGAAACATGAAAAGGAGGCTCAGAGCAAGAGCGCCTTAATTACGGTTGACCTGGAGAACGGCTTCGACGGGCTTTGAAGATTTTGTTATAAACCCTCCCAGCCCAAAAGATCCCTCCAGAAAAACAAATGCTTCTGGTTCCCTGAGTTTGCCACCGTCTGCAAAGCATGTGGATGTGAGAAAGGAACCCGTTCAGCCAGCCTTCCCTGGGTGGATACCATCCCCACAGGTTGGACTGCTGATCCCATCATCCTCACCCAGCGGGCTAAACCGTCTCTGCCTCAGCGCCTTTTCAGATACACTGCTCCCCTACTTCTGTTCCTCCCGGTTGGCACAGCCGTGCTGGCAGGGGGTCATGGGGCTTGGAGTCCGAGAGCTTGGGAGGAGGCTGTACCAAGGGGCAAACTCCAGCGCCCTTGGCACCCTCCATAAGGGCGACCTGAGCTGAAAACATGACGCCCCCTTTAATTGAGAATAGTTGGGGGGGAGAGAAAATCCCCACTTCTTGAAATCTCTTTTTGCCCCAAATGGCTCCTTGGTAGAGCAAGGGGCTGGCATCAACCCCCAGTTCCCTCGTCAGCCATGTGTGAGGCCGTGTGGAGTTTGAACCCCAGGAAATCTGCAGGGGAACAGGGTAGGGAAAAGAAGACCGGATGACGAAACTCCAGATTTTCTCTCCTCTGGGTCTCTTTTCTTTTGCCAATCCTGGAGCCTAACCCGTGATCCTTTGACCGAAGGCAGGAGGCCAGTTTGCCCCGGCCGGATCGATTAGCCAGTGCAGGAGAATTTTTTCCCTGTCCGGCCAGCAGCCACGCGGGGGCGCAGCAGGATCACCGATGGCTCCCCTCGGTTCCATCCGCTGTTGCTTTGCCAGTCAGGGATTCTGGGAAATTGTGCACAGCTTGGGCGATCCTCCACAAGGGAAAGCTTGCAGAGTCTTTTGTGGAACGTTCAGCCCAGGTCTGTCCAGGTATGGAAGCTGAGGAGGGTCTGGTCTGGTTAGTCTCTGGAGGGGAGACCTAGGAATTCCCTGCGCTGCAGGCTAGACAGATGGGGGCGTTGAAAAAAATCTCCCTTTCACGGAAGGGTCCCGGGCCGGGCGAGATGATGCAGCCTCTTTGACGATGCTCTGCAAGGCCACCAACGGCGTTTCCCTTCCGAACGTGACGTCTTTCTCTCTCGATCTCCAGCATGGATGCTGCGCAGCAAGAAGCCGCCGTCTTGTACGTGGTGCAGTCCGGCGCGCTGATGATGGAGTACTTGCGCGCCCGTGGAGAAGCCTCTTCAGCAGCAGCCTCCCGGCGCCGGTGGGCTTTCCTGCGCTCCCTGAGGCGGAGGGGAGGGGAGGAGGAAGGCGAGGAGGAACCCGAGGAAGAGGAGGAGGAGGAGGAGGCGGAGGAAGAGGAGGAAGAGGAGGATGGGGAAGAGGACGAGGCCTTCCTCGCGAGGCAGACCTCCGGTGCCGGCCCTAGGCGGGGGGGCCGCCTCCGTTCGGTGGAGAGGCGGTTCTGGGCCCGGCCCCGGAGCACCGAATGGTGGGACCGCACGGTCCTGGAGACCTGGGACGACGGGAAGTGGCTGCAGAATTTCCGGATGCGCAAGGCGACGTTCCTGGAGCTCTGCGCCCGGCTGTCTCCCGCCCTGCAGCGCCAGAAGACGCGGATGAGGATCCCCCTGAGCGTGGAGAAGCGGGTGGCCATCGCCCTCTGGAAGCTGGCCACCTCCGTCTGCTACCGCGACGTGGGCAACCAGTTTGGGGTGGGCAGGTCCACCGCCGGCTCCGTGGTGCTGGAAGTCTGCCGCGCCATCCAGAGGGTGCTGATGCGCTCCACGGTGAACGTGGGGACCAGCCTGGCGGACATCCTGCGGGGCTTCGAGGGGAGGGGCTTCCCCAACTGCGCGGGGGTGGTGGGCACCACGCACATGCCGATCTTGTGCCCCCCGCACCAAGCGTCGGAGTACGTCAACAGCAAAGGCTACTACTCGATGGCCTTGCAAGCCTTGGTGGACCACCGGGGCAAGTTCACCCATCTGAGCGCCGGGTGGCCGGGGAAGACTCACGAGGCCAAGATCTTCAACAAGTCCACCCTGTTCACCAAAGGGCAGGAAGGGACCCTCTTTGCCCCGGGCCCCGTGGAGATAAACGGGGTATCCATCCCCCGAGTCATCCTGGGAGGACCGGCCTACCCTCTCCTGCCATGGCTGATGGTCCCTTACACTGAAGACCTAGACGAGGCCAGGGAATACTTCAATGCCACTTTGAGCCGATGCCAAGAACCTCTGGAGGAGGCCTTCAGCCGGCTGAAGGGCCGGTGGCGCTGCCTGACGGGCCGCAACGATTGTGCGGTGGAGAACCTCCCGCGCCTCATCTCGGCCTGCTGCGTCCTGCACAACATCTGCGAGGAGAGAGGGGAGGCCTACGAGGACAAGTGGGAAGCCGAGGCCAGGCAGCTGGCCGCCACCTTCGAACAGCCCCTCCAGCGCCCCGACACGCGCATTAAACCCGCCGCGCGGTCGGAAAAGGTGAGGGAGGCCCTCTGCCTGCACGTGGCCAGCCAGAGGTGAGCGGCAGAGGGAGGCAGCTGCAAGAGCTTTGGGGGGAACTTGGGGAGACCCGGCGGGCACCGAGACTTCGCACCCTGCGCACAGCCCGGCGTCCACCTCGAAGTGGCACCAAAGGCGTTTGTGTAGCGTTCAGCCGGTGGATTGTCTTCTTGCAGCTGATTTTGCTGTGAAGGTCCCGGGTAGGGAATTCAGTGTGTGTGCCCTTGCTATCATCGTGGAAAAATAAACCTGCGTGTGCACGTGTAAAACCTGATCCCCTGCTGCCCTGTTGAGCTGAAGAGTTGCCCATCAACTTTGCAGAGTTTGTTTTGGTGGGTCGTCCTTTGCCGCTTCCTTCTTCCCCCGTGGCCCCCAAATGATGGAGAGCGCTGAATTCAGCCCTGCCAAGCCTTGTTGGGGGATCGAACGGGGCGGGTGCTTCGTCTATAGAAGAGACGGCCTGGGCAGGCTGAAGTGGGGGTCTCCCCAAAGGAGAGCACCAGTTTGATCTTTCAGGCCTGGAGAGGAGAAGAGATGTGCCTTTGTTTTTCCTCGCCCTCCTGTTCTTAATCAGCTGCCATAACACTGCTTCAAATTGCTCACCTGGGGTGAGGAGCCGCTCACCCCAGGTGAGCAGCTGAATGTCAGACCACAAGGCCAATGTGTGGAGGAATGGGGCTTCTCAGAATACCAGCCCTTACAGCAGTGTTTCTCAACCTTGGCCACTTTAAGAGGCATGGACTTCGACTCCCAGAATTCCCCAGCCAGCCATGAATTCTGGGAGTTGGTCCACACCTCTTAAAGTGGCCAAGGTTGAGAAGCACCGCCTTACAGCGACTTCTAGTCTTTCAATAAGTAGGTGCGACTCATTGGATTACTTTGGCACCGTTCACACTTGTTTTGCCCAAGCCGATTAGCCACTCCAGTGCCATTTATCTGCCTTGGCCTGGCGTCAGGAAAGAAACACACCCTTTATTTAGCCCTGAATTCACATTAGAGGGAGGCTGAGGGTATGCATGGGCCCAGAGCCAGAAATAGCAATCGGTGCCCCACAGGTGCCCCGTTGCTGTTGAAC